TAGTAGCTTCGAATATGCAAATCTATTTTTGAATTTTCACAGCTTTCACTCTATATACTACATAAACATACTATAAAGTTACATGAAAAATAGTCCTAACATAAATTAGGAAAGTCCTTTTGGGATTATCTTTAATGTCTAAAGCAGAAAACATATAATATAAGTTTTCAAAGAAAATTGTGAAATACGCAGTTATTAAAATTGCATGCATTAACTTTTGATCCTTGATTTTATAGATTAGTAGAAACTAGCTTAAGGCCCGGTGTTACTCATCCCATTCTGTTGCAAAGATGGCAAAACCCGATTTACAACGGTACCATTAAAACCTGAATCTGATAAAAAATGTGGAAGACTATATCCATTTTACTGACTCGAAAAGTGTTTAATTTTACTCAGTATTTATAAAGCAGAAATGCAGAGAAACGACCAAAAAAAAACGGTTTAAATAAACAAAATTTAAGACTTGATCACCTTTGGTACATTTGTAAATCAGGCATTGCCATCTTTGCGTGGAGTGTCCATTAAATTTACACTGACAGTCCCTTAAGTGACGACCTGAGTTAAAAACTATGTTGAAAAATATTCTTGGAAAGTGTGCTTTATCACTCAATTTTATAGCTATCTCTGCTACGGCCGGGTTCCGAGTCCAACCACAGGATCATTCAAGAGGAATTAGTTCAATCCTACAAACTATAAATAAATACAGATTCCGAGATTCAGAAAATTAAACTTTTTATTTCTAAAGCAGAAAATGTTGTGTAAAATGTTGCGTATTTACTGAGTTTAATCCCGAGAACTTCTTTTAAATTTGATAACGAAGTGCTTGCAGGTCCCTCATTCTTAGTTATCAACGATCACAGTCACCACGGCATACTAAGAGGAATTAAATTAATCTGCACAAGATTAAAGGTTGATTCCATCCTTAGATTCTGATCCCAGAACCTCTTTTCAATAGAACTGAAGGTTAAATTGGTATATTCCTTTGAATTTCTTCTTTTTATAAAATTATATGAGATTTTATAAAAAAAGAAATGTTAATTATAAACTTAAGTTAAAAGATTAGAAAATTCTTTACTTTCGTCTCGGACTTTTCATCCTTGGTGGGTAACCAGTCATTAGCTTTGCGTCTCATTAGTATAAACTATTTTATTTATTATAAGATGGCACTTTTCATAAATCCATACTCGATTTTCAGTGACATTCTAACGCGCGCTACTTTAAAATATGCAGACGTAAAACAAGGGTCCGAACCTTTTCTAACTCTTGGTAAAAGAAACGTTGATGTTATTTTTTACATCAAGTGCTACTGAAGCTAAGTAAAAAGGTTTTACAGTTTAAGCATATAAATATAATTTATTGTCTGAAAAACATTTTTAAATTTATAGAAAAAAATATTAAATTTGTACGATAATTAAAGATTTTTACAATTAGCAACATTAAATAAAATTTTTAGTAAAGTAGTTAAAACATAAACACCTTTATAATAATGAAAGGTTTAAGATTATTAAGATTATTAATGTGAACAGTACAAAATTCTTTTTTTCCATATCCGTGCAATAAGTTTTGAAAATAAAAAAATTAAAATGCACCGAGCGATCTTATTTAGTCAAAGAGCATAGAATATATTAGAGGGAAATTTACTAGAAAAAAGTGTAAAACGGCCATTTTGTTGTACTGTTTCCATACTGCAGGTGTACTTCACATATTTATGCTATGTAACCTTTTGGGCCCTGGAATATCATTTTATAGAAAATCTAAAATTATTGTTAAAAGAAAACCAAATTATGAAATAGGCTGGTTTCATAATTGACCAATGATCATTTCACATAGACTCTATGCCTTCCACAAACGATGATTTTCCGTTATACTATAAATCAATTGATAGAAAAAAGTGTAAAACGGCCATTTTGTAGTACTGTTTCCATACAGCAGGTGTACTTCACATATTTATGCTATATAACCTTTTGGGCCCTGAAATATCATTTTATAGAAAATCTAAAATTAATGTTAAAAGAAAACCAAATTATGAAATTGGCTGGTTTCATAATTTTGACCAATCATCATTTCACATAGACTCTATGCCTTTCACTTTACAAACGATGATTTTCCGTTATTACTATATATCAAATGATGTTTTTTATTCACCTAATTCATTATAAAGTTTATTTAACAGTTCAAAAAATTCGAAATTGAAATGAATAGTCTAGGGAACTTACTGTATTAATGTACTCTACTGCAAATAATTTGTGAACATTTACATGATTTGTACACTTTGAACTCCCTTTCAGACTGAAAGGGACTGAACAAATTCATACCGAGAGATTCTTTAAATTCCCCTCTAATATATATTCTATTCTCTTTGTATTTAGTATTGTAATACGAATTATATTATTTTTTATAACAATGATTAGACTACATTTTTGTTATGTTATGTAAGAAAATGATTTTATATTTTTTGGAAAAAAAACTTGTCCAAAATTTTGGATGGTTTTTAATATTTCTATTATTTTCAATTTTCTAACTTAATAATTTTCATAAAATGATAATTTCATATATAATATGGATGTTATATAAAAAAGTTTCCGATTTTTTACTAGAATAAAGAACTTTCTTTGTTAACATTTTAGGGCTAGTTAAATCTATGTTCTTTGTTACATTCATAAATGGAATTTCAGTGTAAAATTTTAGATTTTTTGTTAATTCAGAATTTCTAAAAACTGTCCTTTGTAATTTTAGGATTTTCATGAAGAAAAACTTTTCAAACATCTTAGGAATAATTTACTAAAACTTCTTATTAAAAAAAAAACTTTTTCTCAGTAGATCTATCTGAACACATGCTTTCTAAAGATATATATTAAATTTTTTATATAAATCGATTTAATGGAAAGATTGAAAATCCATAGCTGAAATCTTTAGAGCTGTATATATTGAGATCAATGCTTGATCTTCTCTTTTTATTAATCTCAAGATTAATTTAATCTTTTATAGTTTGCACCCGGAAAAGTGTACAAAATTCAACCACTCAGAGTGGCGTATGCAAAATCCCTAACGGCCAATCAGAAGCTGGAAAATTTGATGTAGGGATATCCAAAAAGAGGAAAAAAGAGCGAACTAAGCAGAAATCAAGTGTCCAGAGTGGATATGCCGAACCGAATTTTAGGCATTTTACAGTATTTTATAAACTGTAAACGGTAAAACGAACCAGAACATCAAATATATCATCCCCTAAAAATGTGACGTATCATGTTTATGTCATGTTTTTACATTCTATTAAATAATATTCTTGAATGTAAAAGTGCATTAAAGGAAAAATATCTAAAAAGAAAAAAAAGAAAATTGTAGGACGAATGAAGAATGTCGAAGGATAGCGGGAAATATAAATGAGGATTTGCCACAAAATCAAATTTTCTTGATCCCTATATCTTTGTAACCTGATGGTGCAAACCTTCTTTAAAGGTTTATCTGTAAAGTAAAATTTACATTTTCTGAAGTGTGCCTATTAAAGTGCTAATAATAGAATAATTAATTAAGACGCCATGCAAAAAAAAATATATATTAATTATATGAACTAAGACATGTTTACGGAGGTAGGATTTAGAAATTGACTCATACCATGTATTGCCCATGCATCATTACAAGTTATTATAATAGGAACCAATGTTTGATACATTACAGAGTTAGAATTTAATGAATTTGAGCCGTGTCTCAAATCCGCCTAAAACCGGTTTCAATTGAGTGCCGGCTTGGATCTTGAAACATCGAATACAATTTTGAGTGGAACCAACCATATTTGAGCTGCATCCCAAATTTAAGCCGTGGCTCAAATTCTTTAAATTTGGCCTCATGCCATTTAGTAGCTATCAAAAATTATGGACGTCTTTAAAGCCGTCATCTTTAGGCCTTTTTTATGAGACACACTTTCCAATTATTCTGCTAAACCAGTAACTACAGAAATGTTCAGAAGGCAGTTGAACAATTCAACTGCACTGTTCCTGGAATCAATGTTAAACCTTGCCAGATCACGATTGTTCTAATAGGATCAAAACATTTAGCTTTCTCCGATATTTCATTTCTTAACAAAAAAAGGATAACATAGTTTCAGCTTAATAGACAAGCATTCTCAATGTTTGATTTAACAAATGAATTTAGTTTCAATGGCGAAGTTAGCTGCGGGTTTTAACATTTTTGTCAATTTTGCTCCCGACCCGTCGTTTTGCTATACATAATTTTTTCCTGGTGCCAATGTTAGAAGTTGTATAAAATTCAACACAATAATAATCTAATCTTATCTGTTTAACAATATGCCTTAGAATAACTTTAGATAAAAGTTTGTAAGAACATGTCGGACTTTATGTACTTTATTAACCATGCTTTTCATAAACAATTTGAGTGATGCTTTTTTTTTGAAAAAATTTAATCAAAATATTTTACAAAGCCAATGATGAGATTTTATAGGTAAAGCCCAACCTATCGTAGACTCAAGATTACGTATAAACACCGAGTCTTAGGTTTGCTTCTGACTGGTTCTGATTAAACAAATGAGAGACTTCTATCAAATCTATGATTTATCCAGATAGAGCTGAAAATTCTTGTATGGAACACCCTTAATCCTGTTTGCTAAATCTCCGTATCCACTGTCGACCCTTTTGATTTTCTGCTTAATCCTCTCTTTTGAATATCCCTGCTGTCTTCGATCGATTGCGAGACAAAATTTAGAAATTTCTCGACTTTTGATTGGCTGTTTAGTTTCTACAATCGACATCTGATTGGCTGTTTAGTTTCTACAATCGATATCTGATTGGTTGCAATTCTAAAGTTTTCAGCTCGGATCAGTTGACAAGATCTAGATTAACAGGTTTAAGTTTCGAAAACTTAAATCTTTATGTAAATAAATTATTCATTTATTTATTCGGGTTAAAGCTTTTAAAATCTTAGCTCTGAACAGAAAACTTTGAATAAAAGTTTTGTTCATTCTCTTCGAAATAATTTTCAATAAAGTATTGAATCTAAAAACTATAAATTATAAAATTATAAATTATAAAATCTTGACTTTGAAAACTTTTTATAAAGTATTGAGATTACTGCAACTCTTTGCTCTACTAGTAGGCACTCCCCAGTCATACATCTTGCCAAGCAGTCCGAGCATCTAAAATATAGAATAATCTAAATAATAAAGCTCTTCGCTTAATTTCAACTAAACTATTAGTACGTTATGACAGTACTTGGATAGAGCCAACATAGCCCATGATTTAGCGTTTAACTGGTCTAATAAATAAAACTTTATCATCAAATATCTTAATAAAAATATGCACAAGTTAAAGAAGTTAAAGAACTTTAACTAAAATGTGATATTTTTGCTGTATCTAAACATATTAATACTTATATCAACATGAAATGTACAAATTTTAAATGTACCTTGCTCCCCCTCCCCTGAGTCAGGTTGGCCTGCTCTGCTTGGTGTCGGAGTGAGATCTGTCTATAAGCTCCAACCAGGAGTTCATCAACATTATGATTTATTCCTTAAATAAGAAAATCTGCAACATTATCCAAAATCTAAGTATTTCTTATTTTAAATTCAGTTCCTCTCTTAACAGTCAGTTAAGCACCTTTTTTTCCTGGTTCTGGTTAAAAGCAGTATTTTAATTATTTTTAACTTTTACAGAAGAGCCAAGTACATAGGTTTCCAACATTTTACAGAAGAGCCAAGTACATAGGTTTCCAACATTTTACAGAAGAACCAAGTATATAGGTTTCCAACATTGTACAGAAGAGCCAAGTATATAGGTTGCCAACATTTTACAGAAGAGCTAAGTATATAGGCTGCCAACATTTTACAGAAGAACCAAATATATAGGTTTCCAACATTTTACAGAAGAACAAGATATATAGGTTTCCAACATTTTACAGAAGAGCCAAGTATAAAGGTTGCCAACATTTTACAGAAGAGCCAAGTATATAGGTTTCCAACATTTTACAGAAGAGCCAAGTATAAAGGTTTCCAACATTTTACAGAAGAGCCAAGTATATAGGTTTCCAACATTTTACAGAAGAGCCAAGTATATAGGTTGCCAACATTTTACAAAAAAGTTTGATAGCTCCTGAAATTAATCAAATTGATGTAGTTTAATAACTTAGGATTTTATCTGTTCTGCAGGGTTGGCTATTTTTTCAACTTCTGAAAGACAATAAAACCTGAGAAAGGTAAATTTCGAAAGTTGTAATTCAGTGTTGTTAAAAACTAAGAACAATCCCTTTAAACCAAGAGAAATCCAGCAGGATTCCCCTTGAATCCCCTTCACCAACTATTAATCATGGTTGGAAGATTGGGAATGACAAGATCAATCTATCAATTCATCATTCTCTTCTAGAATATAAATAAACAGAATTATTCAGAAAGAAAAGAAAAGCAGACTCCATGAAATTATATTATTTCAAAAGTTGAAAAAGTAGATTAGATTTTAAAACATGTCACCCCATTGCCCCCCCCCCCTCCCCACACCCTAAATTCTTTTTTTCTTAGTTTATTGAGGACATTTTTTACACCCATCCATTCCTTTTAGGTAAATGTTATACGGTAAGAAAGTCTATATATATTTATAAATATCAATATTTTCCTGTTAAAAATGTCACCTGGAGCAGTTTCAATGTATTTTACTTCATATTTAACCGCCAAACTTTTTCCATCTAAATATATTAAAACATAAAACTTCATGTTCGAGTTGATTGTTCAAATTTTCAATTATCTATCATGGCATAATATTTATAAACCTGTAGTCCTGACTACTCTATAGATCATATCTATATACCTGTAGTCCTGACTACTCTATAGATCATATTTATATACCTGTAGTCCTGACTACTCTATAGATCATATTTATATACCTGTAGTCCTGACTACTCTATAGATCATATTTATATACCTGTAGTCCTGACTACTCTATAGATCATATTTATATACCTGTAGTCCTGACTACTCTATAGATCATATTTATATACCTGTAGTCCTGACTACTCTATAGATCATATTTATATACCTGTAGTCCTGACTACTCTATAGATCATATTTATGTACCTGAAGTCCTGACTACTCTATAGATAAGATTTATATACCTGTAGTCCTAACTACTCTATAGATCATATTTATATACCTGTAGTCCTGACTACTCTATAGATCATATTTATATACCTGTAGTCCTGACTACTCTACTCCGAACTAGATCAGATTTGTTTGCCACCAGGATAACCGCAGTATCTCGTGTAGGACTAGAACTAGACAACAGTTTACATTTCACAGTTCGAGGAAACAGTTAATTTGTATAAACCGATTTGACAGTTCACAGTTCGGGGAAACAGTTAATTTGTATAAACAGATTTGACGGTTCACAGTTCGGGGAAACAGTTAATTTGTATAAACAGATTTGACGGTTCACAGTTCGGGGTAAAAATTATTACGCATAAACAGATTTGACGGTTCACAGTTCGGGGTAAAAATTATTACGAATAAACAGAGTTGACGGTTCACAGTTCGGGGAAACAGTTAATTTGTATAAACAGATTTTATTAACCATGGTTAAAGTGGGTCATTACTGGTAACGGAAAGTTGCCCAGACCTCTTGCCAATTGTAAAGGTTGTACAATTAGGTTGGTTACTCTCAATGAACTCCAATGTATGGAAAATGTCGTCTCCTAAGATAGATATATAAAAACCTCATATAACATCACTGATTATAGAGGCGAGAGTGGCGTCATATGAGGTTTTCATCCTTCTATGTTAGGAGATGACATTTTCCGTACATTGGAAAACATCTAGAGTAAACAACCTTATTATACAACCTTGCCAAATGTACAGTTTTTCTCAAGTACAGGTACCGAACGTCAATATTTTGTCGAGGAGATATGGATAAAGAGAAACAGAACTTTTAATGCAAATACGTTGAAAATGCATTATTTACTTTTGCAGTTTTCCGAAACTTCGTCTGAATAAAATATTTAGAGACTACAATTTTAAAGTTCATGGGAAGCTTTGAGAACAAATTTTTATATTAAGACTTATTTAGAATTCCTCCGAAGAGAATTGTAAATTCATAATCTGTCAACATTGACTATTAGATGACTTGGAAAAGAAAATCAAACATTTATTGCTTTGCAGGCAACTTCCTTCATTTTCAAACAAGATTTTTAAAAATCATGTTGGTATTGAATAACGGGGTCATAATGTTAATACTCAATTAACAATATACTTCACTGTTAGACTCACTTTTTTCTCAAAAAAATATCTTATTTTTTTGTGAATTTGATACTTTTTTTCAAGTTCTGGAAAGTTGATTTCCAACGTGCTTTATTAGCAGAATAATAATAAAGCCACATTATCAAAATAAAGAAGTATCTCTAATACGCGTCCACAATGAAACCCGTATTATTACTGCATCCTTATCAGTGCTTCATAAAAATGCGTCCTCATTTGCTAGAGAGATAATTAATGCTGTCAGCTAGAGCAGGGTTATGCACAAAGAATGAGACATCAGAGACGATTGTACGGAATTTATATTTTCTGTTTCCTTATATTTATGATTCCCTTCAACTGTAAACTTGTTTCTTACTTTGCCAAATCATTGGTTGAGCAATTCAAGGATAAAATTCAAGGTGGTAGAAGACTTAATATCTAACCTCGGAATCGTCAAGCTTTAAGAGTTTAAGGTCGTCTTTACAGTCAATTTTTTTTTAAATACACGTCAAACTAAAGTAAAATGCACAGAAGTTTGAAATCAAAACTCCTCGATTGAAGAGCTAACATGAGAAAAGCAAAAATGGTTTGAATTTTTAATATTTAACCGGATAGATTTGCTTTTCTTAATATTGTGGATAAAATCAGAACTAGAGGAGCAACCAAGTCCCAAAGTCGGATAAGTAAAGTCAATTGAATTTAACCTTCTCCTCCTGGTTAGTTTGCAGTGTAAATAATATATATAACTTGGATGACAAAAAATAGGACCACTTTTTTAATTTATAACCATATGCTGGGGTAAGTTTTTGAGTCTTTATACTGGATTTAAGGTGCTTAAACCACCTTAATTCCTTTTTTTGGTCACCATAAATATATATATATAGAGTTGTTCAAAGAATTGTAACTACTGAGGATCGTCATGATAGACGTGAAACATTATGTTTAGTATAATTCTTTTTTTAATAAAAATGTGAAGTTAAAAACTGAAATATATATATATATATATATACAAGATAAAGGTTTAACT